AGTAACTGCTGTCCAGTGGGAAGAGATAATGGTGGACCATTAAAGTTAATGGAAAGACATTTAGACACCCCAGCTCTCCAATCAAAAGGTTTCTACACTGTGAATAAACATGAGTCAATATGGACTAAGGTGGGGGGAGGGGGAGAGAAAAAAAGCCTTTTAAAAGCAGCCTTGTGTCTGAAGTTTTGCATCCAGAAACTGAGGGACAGCTACTTGGCAATGGCTGTCTGTGAAACACTGGCTAGGGGTAAGCTGGGAAACTGTTCAAAAGCAATAGGTAACTTGTATTAGATAAAGGATTTTATCTAATATAGAAGTGTAAAGCCTGAGGTTGAGTTTGTGTAACTTGTATCTGTTTGCTTTCCCGTACTACTTCATCTTGGAATCTGTGGTTTCTCTATTTACTAATCATTTTGTTTATTTTTAACCCAAGCAGTTCTCTGTTGTGCAAACTATGTGGAGTGTGGGAGCCAAAGTGAGGTGACGGGGGTGGGGTGGGGGTGGCTGGTTTCCTGCCTTTGGGGTGCCAAACCAGAGGGAGATAGTTTGTGTGTCTGATAGTTAAGAACTCAGGAAGGATGGATTTGGGGATACTCTAAACTTGAAGGGCTGCTGATGTCATCCTGCAAGAAGTAACTAGGCTTGTGGAAGCCAGGGTCATAACTTTTGCACGGTGATAGCCTTGTGAACAGGCTACTGGTGTCCGGGGTCTGAACCAAAGCTGCCCAACATAAAGACACGCAAGGTTACAGAGCAGGTGGTGACAAAACCCCTTGCTGGTCTGGGTGATCTCCAAACATCACACCTGGTTATTTATTTTTCCTTATGTAGAAAACTGGAAGCTTTTGATCTTAATTTATAGCAAACAGATCTAAAATCAGATCAGTCATGGTGTTCTCCCTTAGGTTTTAAGTAATTTGTTTGGAATCCTAACAGATCTAACATCCCAGTACTCATACTAATGTTTATCAATTTCCCTATCCCAGTGCTCTGATCATCCAACCATTCAGACGCAGAAATGCAAGCCCAAATGACATAAATACTCCAGAAATACTTGATGAAGAATTTGATGTAGTCACCATTGTGCAGGGGAATGTTTCACACTGGAGACAATTTCCATTTTCAACTAAACCAGAATGCACTCACTGACTGCAGAGCATTCAAATAATAATAATAATGTTGTTAATCTTTGCAGACATATACAACTTTTCATCTGAGGATCTCAAAAAGTGCTTTAGAAAACTGGATAAATTATTCCCATTTGATTAGATTTTTTGCATTCAGTAGTTTGCAGGAGAACAGACTAGAGAATATCATTCTTGAGGGTTTTTTTGGTAGGATTACATTATTTCTAGGGCTGTCAATTACTCGCAGTTAACTTACGTGATTAACTCAAAAAAGTTAATCACAGTTTTAATTGCACTGTTAAACAATAGAATACCAACTGAAATGTATTAAATATTTTGGATGTTTTTCTACATTTTCATCTATATTGTATTCTGTGTTGTAATTGAAATCAAAGTGCTTATTTTTTATTACAAATATTTGCACTGTAAAAATGATAAACAAAAGAAATCGTACTTTTCAATTCACCTCATACAAGTACTGTAGTGCAATCTCTTTGTCATGAAAGTGCAACTTACAAATGTAGATTTTTTTGGTTATATAACTGCACTCAAAAACAAAATAATGTAAAACTTAGACCTACAAGTCCACTCAGTCCTACTTCTTGTTCAGCCAATTCTAAGACAAACAAGTTTGTTTACATTTACAGTACATCATACTGCTCTCTTCTTATTTACAATGTCACCAGAAAGTGAGAACAGGTGTTTGCATGGCACTTTTTTAGCTGGCATTGCAAGGTATTCTGCCAGTAGAAGAAATGGGAGTGGAACCCAGTTCTCTTAGCTCAGAATTCAGCACCTTATCTAATGGACTATACTATTCTCAGTGGGCCCAAATCTCAGCGGCAATGATGTCTTCTCTTCTCCAAAAGAGAGGCATTAGTCTGCAGATCTCATTTGATATCTCCAGTTAAAAAGGAGCTAATCCTTTAAATTTAAAACATATTCATAGTACCTCAGCCACCCAGAGCAAACATTTAGAATAGCTTGTAGGTGCCTTGTAGAAAAACTTCCATACCTTCATAGAATTTACATAAGTATCATTACATGTCATTCCACACAGTCACATTGGTATATGAAATGATAGCACTTTGCACTTTTACAATAACTTTCATTCCAGCATCTCAAGGGCCTTTAGAAACGTGGGGATTATTTATCCCCATTTTACTGAGGCAGAGGGGTTAAGGCCAAAGCTTTAAACATTGGTACCCAAATTTAGGCCCCAAATCCATAGGCAGCTGGATTTTCAGAGTTGCTGAGCAGTTTCCACTCCCATTGCTCCAGTGGAAGTTCTGGGAGGCCAACGTTTCTGAAAAATCAGGCCACTCATTAGTTATCTGACTTAAGACACCCACATTTGAAAATTTCAGCCTAAGTGACTTGCCTGAGGTCTCCCAGTGAAATAGTAACTAAACCAGAAAAAGACCCCAAGTTTCCCCAGTTCTAATTGCTAGACCATCCTTGACTCCCTCAGTAGGTCTGGATGGTCACAGAGAGCTCATCTGTGAGCCACTTTATGTGCACTCAGCCCCCTGAACAGGCCTGCTTCCATCACCAGTCTATATTTAGTGGGGTGAGTAGCCTCAGTGAACACCAAATTGTGGTGTTCTCAGTACCTTTCCTAGCCATAGTAACTTCCATTGCCATGTCATGTGAGGGTGTTATGATAGATGAAAATAAGTTATGCATTGGAAGAGGATAGTGAAAAAAGACAAATTAGTCTGTGTCCATTAAAAAAGCAAGATGAAAGGCCACAGGCAAGACCTAAGGCAAATTTACAAAAGCTACAAGAAGGCGCTCCTATATTCAACCTGAATTCTAAGTTTGCTTTTCACTTTTCAAAGTTTATTTATTAATGTATCAAACACACTTCTCACTAAGGAAAAACCCACCAACATTATCCTGTGAACTCCATCACTAGCTCAAAAGGCAGACTGAAAATACAGAGTCAAGAGCTATGTAGAAAGCACAGCCTACTCCATAATTCCTCACGAAATATAGTGAATGCTAGTTATCACTTAGACTGTATCAGATTCTTCTTCAAGCAGCGTAAAACCATTTGCTTTCCTGCAGTATCGTTCTATATAGAAGCACAATGTGTCAGTGGATGCTTCACTGAAGAGGACTCTCTGTCAACAATCATTGTTTCATTGGCATTAATGTGCAGTAAAAGACAATGAAGCATGACTCAATTAAACCACCAAATACTACATTCAAATAACATTAACCCCTGACATTTTAAAACAACTGCAGGGTTTTAGCTGCATGACACTCATTAAGGTCAGTTTCCAAAATGTATACCTCTAAGCATCTGACTTAAGCCCACATCAGCACATCAGTTCAGAGTGGAGACTAAAAGTAAGATTCACCTAGTGTGGCTCACATGTTGCAACACACACATATATAATCATATTTATGAGGTCACTCTACCATTATTAACCTCCACATACCGGTAAGAGGTAAGAAGAACAGAGTTTCAAACTAAACTCCGAATTTCTTTGCTTTTTGGAGTTTCCAGATTAGTAACTATTACAAGAATGAAGGTTTAGTGGTTGTAGCTGGCTTTTTATTACATAAAAAATAAAATGTGCTACTGGCATGTTATGGAATCAGGTGCTGCACTGGCCCTCAATCTGTGCCAACAGAATCTTACAGTTTAATAGAACTTTGTGCAGTAATCAGAATAGACTGAGTCCTGCCCAGTGCTGAGCACTGTGCCTTCAATTCAGGAAAGCATTGGCTTAACTTTAAACTTGTGACTAGCCATGATGAGCACTTGGCGGCAGATGAATATACATCCCCACATTTGTTTCTTTGATCCAAAGGCATGTATTTTTAAAAGTATGCAATCCATGTGCCTCTTCCTGCAAGTCTTCACTTGCATCGATATACACTACTCAGGTTAGTAAGGTGTGGCAGGGTGGACTAGGTTCAGAGGGCCTCGCAGCCCTGCATCACCCTGTCCCAGAAAAAATCAGCAAGAAGTCCTCCACGCAGCCTAGAGTGGCTGCAGAGGAGTGGCCAGAGGGGCTTATGGAGCAGCCAGTCTGGGGCCAGAAGGGCCCTATATAAGACTAGCAGCAGAGCAGAGAAGTTCAGCTGCAGTGTAGAGCTTGAGAATGGACTGATGGAGCAGCAATACTGTGGGCAGCTCGCTGTGGACAGGACTGAAGCCCAGGGAAGGCTGCTGAAGACCGGGCGCCTGGCTGGCAGGAAAAGCAGCAGGACCAGCGGAAGGTCAGAGAGGGGACAGGTTGAGCCCAGGGGACTGAGCACCGAACCTGTGCAGGCCAGTGAGGGTACCGAGATGGGTCCTGCTGGTCTGGATGAAGATTGAGCCCAGGGAGGCCTGCTGAAACACCACCAGCTGCGGGTACTGAGATGGGCCCCGACTGGGTGGTTGAAGAAGGCAGCTCCTCTGGAATAAGCCTAAGAACTACGGCCCCATACCAGGGCTGTGATAAGAACTTGGGACTGTATACCCCAGAGGGCTTAGATGCTGAAGATCCAGCAAGAGAACTATCAGCTGGTGGTGCTTGCGAGAGGCGGGTGTCACCCCGATGTAAGAACTGAAAGCAAAAGCAGGCTCACACCCCACCAACCAAAGGGGCTCCCCATGAGTGGTGGGTGCCACCCCTTGAAAAGACTGATTGCAGGTATGTCAGCCAGAGAAAAGGGGGTGCCCATGAAAGGTGGTGCCGACCCCATTACATAAGGGTTTGCAGGATCAGGCTTCCTCTGTTACTGCTTATTGTTAATTTGCAGCTGTAACAATCATGGTAATATCACTGTTTTACCATGTATTGGTAAAAAAATAATTTGAAATGGCTGAATATTGTTTAAGAAATTATATAAAAACACTAAGTCTGAAGTATATTATTTCTTGATTCATGATTTTTATTGAACTTCAAACAAACCAACCCTGAATCACAGACATAACAGAGCTACACAAATGCTGATGATGTAAGAAGGAAAATACCAATTTAACACCTATGCCATGGAGTTGTATAAAAGCAAAAGGGAAGGGGGAAACATACAAGCAGTGAATAAACAGTGGGAACATGAAAATTGTCCCCTGTATCCAGACCTCTCTCTCAAGAAGATGATTCTAATTCTAAAGAAATTTCTGTATAGTCTTTTTATTTGCTTGTGCCATTTTATCTGTCATATGGCACTTGAAATAAAAAATGGTAGCCTAATGCACTTCAGAAATGCCACAGTGAATTACCAATAAAGAACTGGTTTAAAGACTAAAGTAATAAAACTTTTTAAAAAAAAATTAGCATCTTTGCCTACAGTAGATAAAACTGTATAAAACAGAATATTCCTTGAACTATATTCCCAATGGTCCTGGATACTGCAAGTAGATCCATGTAGGACCCTGGAATCCATGGCAAAGTGCCACTGAGTTCCACAGGACTCCATTCAGTTACAAGGATTCACTTGTGCAGATCCTGTTGCAAGGCTGGGGTATTAAAATGGTATCAGACAGATTCTTGTATAATAAAACCTCAGTTTTATATGGAAATATCTCACAAAGGCTTCAACATTCAGAAGTAACTGTGCTCATAAAGTGCAAAAAATCTCGTACACCTGGCTTGTTTACAGCTAAATAACTGACAACAATGAAGCAACTTCATACTTTAAAAGTCAGATAAAATAATTTTCTGTGAACTAAGTTATACCATTGATCATAAAGGTTCATATGGAAAACAGACAGAATGTAAACACTGACAGGATAGCAGTATGATCAACTGCTGATATAAGTGATCAACTGCATAAACTGACCTAATTCATGAAGAGGTTGCATATTACAAAGTTTAGAGTTGAGAGCCCTTGAGACAAGAGAGTCACCTCAAGTTCACTATTTAAGGATCTGACTTGGTGAAGAGTTCCAACGTCTTTTCTAGCATTGGAGAGGACTCCCATTATTATATATCATCTTGACTAATAGTAAAGCTTGTGCTGAACTTGCAAGTGTACATTTATAAATAAATACAAGGGGGGGAGGGGGCTAAAAACCCAGGAAAAAAGATGGCATAGAAGCACCTGGGGGTAAATTGTATCTTTCTAGGGCAATACCTGCAACCAATTGTATGGACTGTGAAATTCGCTGAGATGAGCCTTGCAGAGTGTCCTTCAAATTGCTTCTTATGGGTTGGGAGCAAGCGGATCCTGGGAATATGTTGGGTAGGGAAATGTCAGCCCATCTGTGCTGCTCCTCCCCATAGGCACATGGCTGCTGCAGAAGCTATGCTGTCATTAGCATTCACCAGGATTATTTGCAAAATGTGAGGGGTTAGAGTGCAGAAGATATTTCTGATCAGTTCTACCATCATACCCATCATCATGCTACCTGAGCACCTTGCCAGAGAATACACATACATAATGTACATTAACAATTTACAGAAAGGAAATTGGCAACTTAAAGACTAACAGATTTATTTGAGCATAAGCTTTCGTGGGTAAAAACCCCATTTCTTCAGATGAATGGAGTGAAAATTACCAATGCAAACATAAATATACTGACACATAAAGAGAAGGGAGTTACCTCACAAGTGGAGAACCAGTGCTGACTGAGCCAATTCGATCAGGGTGTTAAATTTGCAAATGAATTTTAGTTCTGCTGTTTCTCTTTGAAGTCTGAAGTTTTTTTGTTCAAGTAGAGCTACTTTCAAATCTGTTATAGACTGTCCAGGAAGATTAAAGTGTTATCCTACTGGCTTTTGTATGTTACTATTCCTGATGTCTGATTTGTGTCCATTTATTCTTTTACGTACAGACTGTCCGGTTTGGCCAATGTACATGGCAGAGGGGCATTGTTGGCATCCTCAACTGAAAGAAATATTAACAGTGATGAGAAGCACTTTAAAATGTTTCCCTGTGCCTACCAGCATAACCTCCACCTTGCTTCAGCCAGCTCCTCCTCACACAGCTGCAGGATAAATGGGCAGTGTTGGTGTTTGCATATGATGCGAATAACAAACAGAGAGGGGTGTCATCTACATATTGCTAGCATTTGAGACCACACAGGCTCATAATCTCTCCTAGCAGTTTCATGTAAATAGTGAATCAAATAGTAGCAATGCAGCTTGTAAATGAAATCTGTGGTGGCAAACGAGCATTTATCCACCACTATCCGGGCCATTTCTGACCTGTATTCTGGCCTACAATCAGCTTGTTATAGACCTAGGATATTGGCTATGGATGGACGTATTTGAGAAATTTGTTTTTTCCCCTCTCACTGCCTCCAAATGCATAGAGTCCCAACATAGTGGGTTACAGAGTGTTCCCAGAAAGGGGAAGAAAGGAATGCCATGGAGGCAACTTCTCTTTTTGCAACCGTCTTAGGTGAGATCTGCCCAAGCAGGATCTTTTCTGCTCCTTTAGAATTTCTCACTTGGTCACAAAAGCTTTTTTTATAAACCTGACGAGCAATGCAGCAGCATTTTCCTGTTGATGATCCAGATTATTGATTATTGAGTCATTAATGAGTTCATGTACCGAAGAGTTTATGCACAGTGTATCTCAGATGGACACCTCTCAAATGGTACTATTTTTAAAAGTAAGCATACGCATATAAACCATAGATATAACAAATGCTCAGTGAAAAGTATTATGTCACTCTACACGCAAGTATAAAAGACCTTTGACATTACATATATAAGAAAAATGTAAGGCATTTTCAATACTTTTACTCGGAATAGTCATGGTTAGGAAGGAGGGAAGCTGAGTCTTACGAAGTGAATAGAGCAATCTAAGCCAAACACATCGTAAAGAAAAGACACTTTTTATATCAGTATTTTTGAAAATAAAAACAGCTCAGATATTATATTTGTGTGGATCTACCTCAAAGTGCCTGCAGATGCACATGTAAATAAGGGACTTGAAAATCAAAAATACTTGAAAACTTGCTAGTGGGTTTCAAAGTTCTCTAACCTAGTCGAGTCCTCAGTTGAAGAGAAAATGGGAATTTGCATGATTTTTCTTACAATGTATGTATTTTGTAGCAAATATCTTCCAGGCAAAATAATAAAGAACATTTCAGTAGTCAGAATTCTTAGAATCAAATGTTACTTTTAACATAGCACAAGAAATGAAAAATTCCATGTTATTTTTATAATGTATCACTGGTCCACAATGAGAAACAATCTAATACATAGATTTTTGCATTCAATCTCTTTGTCAAAAACTACATAGCACATCAAATGTTAATAGCACTAGGGAGTTGGTGATTAATACAAAAACAAATACTATATTATAAATTTTCTTTTGTTCTTCACTCACAATGATGCAAGGTGCTAGAATGTAACCTTTAAGGGTTAAAGAGTTTAATCAATGTCAATGTCTGATCTTCTGAAGGCGATAAAGAACAGTCTGTCGAGCGATACCCAACAGAACATCACTTTGTCAAGCCACAAAGCACCCAAAAGCTTGTCAAGTAAGTTACCAGAAACCTCTTTGTGGTTAGAACTCAGCTCCTTCCTGCTTGACCTATTATTTGATATTTGACCACTTGGTTGCAAGACACTTGCTCTTTCCAGCTGAAATGTCACTGGGGCATCTTGTCAGCTCCCCGACATCTCGGCCTGACATACAATTTTACTTTTGTGTGCTACAAGGCAGAAAATGCAGGGCAATGGCTTTGCTTTAAATTCTGTCAGCATCAAAGATGGGCGTCACTCTTGGGTCCTACCAACAACAACAAAAAAGGAGTCTATTTTGAAGGTCAAAACTGCCATTACTTTAAAATATTTCAGTTTAAACTAAATATATTACCTGCAACACTGGTTTGGGAACTGTCCTTATAAAGTACATAAACATGTCATCAGAAATCCTCCCTGCACAATTGTTCTACTTTCTCATCAAATGCAGACTTGATAAAAGGATGAGTTTTCAACGTCTGCAGGGACCAGATTCAGCAGTTAACTTAACTTGTTCAAATGGGCAAGTGGTATCATGTAGGAGCAACCTGACCTTCTCACATTGACCAGGAGTGACATTATTGTGCAGGAGGAGAAGCAGTCACATCATTTCTGTTTTGCACAACCTGCTTAAAGTTTGCAACTAAATGCTTGTCTTCAGTTGAGCTGACAAGAGAGAAGAGGGGGCTCAGTGAACCATGGCAGGGCTGCCATGAAATGACAGGAATCATTGGCATACATTTCAAATAGCTCTCTCAATCCTATTAAAGTACTGCAGTCCTGATTTAAAATAGACAAGTATGAAACAACTTTGATAGATAGAGACTAAAATGGCTTATTGATTTTTTTAAGTCTGAAGAAAATTACCCAAAATGTGTCATTCTTTAACATTTAAAAATATATTACATAAAAATGAGCAACTGTGATAAATAAAACTAAAAAAACAAACAAAAAAACTGGACTGTTTCACTACACCAGAGTGAGAAGTACAGAAACATGGATGTATGAACTCACCGTTTTCAAACAAATGTAAAAATTAGTGTCACATGTTAAAGCACAATTCAAAGGTAAGATAGCCCAATAAAATATCATTTTAATTGCATCATTTAAAATTTATACAGTTTTTCCTCATAAAGTTAATACAAAGTCTTAAAAGCCATTTTGTATTGTTCTTTTGGTGCTGGCTGAGATGTTGAGGGCAGAGGAATAGGATGAAGACTGAGAATGGGATCTATTGTGAATAGACCTGTAAGATGTATCTGCCTCAGCTTGCAATGGCAAAAAATCTGGGATACAGCTCAGGTCAGGCTGAAGTGCTGATCTTGAAGCCATGGGGATGTTTGAACTGTCTCGTGATTCCTGGAATAAAGTTTAAAAAAACAAAAACCACACACACTTATTGTGGACCAATCAAAATCAATAAATACAGTACAAATAATTTCAATTTGTCCTTCACACATTTATGTGCCAGTTCTTCTTTGTTTTATTAATTTATTAAAAATGCATATTACTTTGCCAGGCACTTCAACCCTTGGTAATCAGCAGCAGAGAGCTTCATATGAAGCACGTTGCACGAGTACTGATTGTTAGGGAACATCAGCTTCCACAGTCTAAAGAATTTTGCACATGTTCAGTACATATTTACCATTTGTAATGCTGGAAATCTTACATTAGAAATGACATTAAGAGGTATTTTTTTCTTGATAAATACCTTAAACTTACTCTCCCCCGACACCGTATTGGGAAGAATCCTCATTTTTGTCCATGTGCTTTTTCATTTTTAACCACATTTTATTGTAACTTAATCAAACTTTTCTTTTAACATTTGTTGGATCATAAAATCATCATAAAATAAATGCTCAAAGTGCCTTATTTGGAAATGTGATTCATGTTTGAGAATGTGATTCATGTTTATTTATATATATATATATATATATATATATATATATATATATATATCAATGTTACCATCAGAGCTCATTCATATCGATATAAACGGTAGTATACAACAGTAGAATTCCAAATATTTCCTTAAAGCAACTTTTGTGATTTTCCCTCTTCCCATTTTTGCACATCAAAGATTCCATGTATGGTACGCTTAAGCATACTGAAATTAGCCATTGCACTTTCCACAGCATTATATGCAGTGGTTAAAATGGCCCATTAAGGGACAAAAGTGCAATATGCTGTTGAGTTTTCTTAACTTTTTTCTTTTAGGAAAAGGTGTTTGTGTTCTTCTAAATATCCATGATTAGCATTTTGAAAAAATGCCAGAGTTCTAATGGTTAATGTTACTATACTTCCATGATCCATAAGCTTTCAAAATCTGATGCACAATTTTTTCTGGTCCTGAGATTTATTTTTTCATATTATATACATATATATACACAATAGTAATGGGGGGAGTGAGGGGGAGAGGGGAACCCTCTCTCTCTCTCTCTCTCTAGATATATATAATGAGAGAGACAGACACAGAGAGGGTTCCCCTCTCCCCCTCACTCCCCCCATTACTATTGTTGAAGAAAAATCAATGGTTGCATCTAACACCTAGTTCAGCAATTTTCTTTTATGTTGATTCTTTTGATTTCCTGATACTCTACAAGCTATCTTATGGCTGACTGAAATCAGCAAGGTTTATGCTGGACCTTCAAGGAGAACCAATATGGAAGGAGGTTCAAATCTCCTTCAATTGCAAGGAGGTATTTAAAATGAAGTAGTACCTTATGTTTTGCTAAACTATTGTGGTTATGAAGGTGAGTTAACCGATAGCACTAGCAAATACTGATCTGCACCACCCCTGGCATTTCAGTCCCATTTTGCTCTCATTTTGTAGGACTGAGGCCATAATAAAACTTTATTGTATTTGTAACTAACAATCTGATGCCTTTATGGAGGTCTAATTTCAATCTATTGTACCAATTAGCAGTTTTATATTTTAAGTTTATTTTAATTAGCTTAAAAATAAATCAAAATAGAAAATAAAATGTATATGAAATCCAAAAGCAGAATTCTTCATGCTGTTTGCAGAGATTCTGTTATTTGTTTTGATACAGCATTTTTGCCAATACAAAGCATAAGAATACACTGTATCATTCTGAAAAGACTGTTTTCTGTGTTTAAGGAAATGAAATCACTAAAAATAAACTGTAAACAAGTTGCCCAATGGGTGACAAATATTGAAGAGCAGCCTGTTTAACAGATCAGTATGCACTGGTTTCCATGTCTCAATTAATGGAACTATCATATTGATTAAAAATCACTAGCTACAATTGTATTCTCACAGTTGTTTTTTCCCCCAGACTTTTTTTTTTTTTTTTTTTTTAAGATCAAAATCCCAAGTAAGGAGTTGGGAAATCAGGTTTCCTTTGAGAGATGCTCAAAAAATGTATGCAACTTAATGATTGGCAGCAAGTCAATAGACTAGGTTACAGTAAAAGCTTCAGTGTTGGCGGGGGGGAAGGTCTGTTTTAGTTATCCAGGTCCTATGCTGCACTTCATACAAAGCTAGTGCAGAATGATATTCACAGAATAGGGTGGAAATAAAATTTTATAGTCGCTTGACTGATGTAAAAAAATCTTCACTGCTATTGAACTGGTTTGAATCTATATTATTATATAAATTTACAACAAATAAAAAACTAGTATTTCATGAAACTGTAAAAAAAATTAAACTGGTATAAATTATAACCATTATGAAATAGCACGGTGTACAAATGCATGAAATTTAAAGTTATTTCCCCAACAAACCTCTTTCGAAACCATTGCAGTCTATATGTATTTAGACACTTTTTAAAATTGTGTATTATTAAGATGACAAACTGAAATGGCTGGGCAGGAGCTATGATGATAATCTATCATGTAAATATGTGTGTAGTTAATTTTTAGAAAGGGAATTACTTACCTGAAATAAGGGGTCTATTCAGGTAAATCTTTAGCATAGCACTTTTATTTACTCAATCAGTTGTAAATGATTCCATCTAAAATGTCACACACGGTCAGGTAAATATATTTTTAGGATACAATGTGCCTAAGAAAAATATTAATTCAAAATGCTTTTGAAACATAGTAATTAGGCATGTTCCTGAGCCATTTTTCCAAGTTTGAAAGCCTAACTTCTTAAAATATGTTCTTCCAAACAAGAAAATATTAAATGTTAGTCCATTTTATGAAATAATTGCATTATAAACTATACTTAAATCAAAGCCATATTTTAGTCATACGCAAGCAAACAGGCTTCTAAAACAATGACATTAAGTTGATTATCTTTCATAACTCCACTCTGATTAGGCTTTGATCCTATTTTAGAGATCGCCCCATGAAAAATTAGTTGATTTTCCCAATGTTTAAAATAATTTTACTAAACTGATATTACTACATATGACATTGTCTGGGAACACGATAATACTGTCATGTGTGACATCCTTATGTATGAAATTATTTAGCGATGTCAACATATGCAACGGCATCACACTGACATCAGGTTTTAAAATTTAAATACTTGTGGAATAATACACACAACTTGGGATTGGTGGCGTATATGTATGTGTTGGTGGTACAGATGGATAACTAAAGAATACCTACTATCATAGTGAAGCATGCTGTACAGTATATTTTTTATTTTCAATTGTAACAGTAAAATCTATAAAAACATAAGAATGGCCATACTGGGTCAGACCAAAGGTCAATCCAGCCCAGTATCCTGTCTGCCGACAGTGCCAGGTGCCCCAGAGGGAGTGAATTTAACAGGTAATGATCTAGTGATCTCTCTCCTGTCATCCATCTCCACCCTCTGACAAACAGAGGCTAGGGATAGCATTCCTTACCCATCCTGGCTAATAGCCATTAATGGACTTAACCCCCATGAATGTATCCAGTTCTCTTTTAAACCCTGTTACAGTCCTAGCCTTCATAACCTCCTCAGGCAAGGAGTTCCACAGGTTGACTGTGTGCTGAGTGAAGAACAACTTCCTTTTATTTGTTTTAAACCTGCTACCCATTCATTTCATTTGGTGGCCCCTAGTTCTTATATAATGGGAACAAATAAATAACTTTTCCTTATTCACTTTCTTCACACCTCTCATGATTTTATATAACTCTATCAAATCCCCCTTAGTCTCCTCTTTTCCAAGCTGAAAAGTCCTCGCCTCTTTCATTTCTCCTCATATAGGACCCGTTCCAAACCCCTAATCATTTTAGTTGCCCTTTTCTGAATCTTTTCTAATGCCAGTATATCTTTTTTGAGATGAGAGGACCACATCTGTATGCAGTATTCAAGATGTGGGCGTACCATGCATTTATATAAGGGCGATAAGATATTCTCTGTCTTATTCTCTATCCCTTTTTTAATGATTCCTAACATCCTGTTTGCTTTTTTGACTACCGCTGCACACTGCGTGGACGTCTTCAGAAAACTATCCATGATGACTCCAAGATCTTTCTCCTGATTAGTTGTAGCTAAATTAGCCCCCACCATATTGTATATATAGTTGGGGTTATTTTTTCCAATGTGCATTTACATTTATGCACATTAAATTTCATTGGCCATTTTGTTGCCCAATCACTTAGTTTTGTGAGATCTTTTTGAAGTTCTTCACAGTCTGCTTTGGTCTTAACTACCCTGAGCAGTTTAGTATCATCTGCAAACTTTACCACCTCACTGTTTACCTCTTTCTCCAGATCATTTATGAATAAGTTGAATAGGATTGGTCCTAGGACTGATCCTTGGGGAATACCACTAGTTACCCCTCTCCATTCTGAAAATTTACTATTTATTCCTAAGCTTTGTTCCCTGTCTTCTAACTAGTTCTTAGTCCATGAAAGGACCTTCCCTCTTATCCTATGACAACTTAATTTACATAACAGCCTTTGGTGAGGGACCTTGTCAAAGGCTTTCTGGAAATCTAAGTACACTATGTCCACTGGATCCCCCTTGTCCACATGTTTGTTGACTCCCTCAAAGATCTCTAATAGATTAGTAAGACATGATTTCCCTTTACAAAAACCATCTTGACTTTTGCGCAACAATTTATGCTCTTCTATGTGTCTGACAATTTTATTCTTTACTATTGTTTCAACTAATTTGCCCGGTATTGACGTTAGACTTACCTGTCTGTAATTGCCAGGATCACCTCTAGAGCCCTTCTTAAATACTGGCGTTACATTAGCTATCTTCCAGTCATTGGGTACAGAAGCTGATTTAAAGGACAGGTTACAAACCGTAGTTAATAGTTCCGCAATTTCACATTTGAGTTCTTTCAGAACTCTTGGGTGAATGCCGTCTGGTCCCGGTGACTTGTTACTGTTAAGTTTCTCAATTAATTCCAAAACCTCCTCTAGTGATACTTCAATCTGTGACAATT